ACCGTGGGGAGCCGCGTGAGGGCGCGTGGCCGGCGCGGGTTCGCGCGCGTCGTGATCTCGGTAGCGCTTGGCGCCTTCTGGGGGCGCTGGAGAGACAGAACCCATGTACTTACAGGGACAGGAAGGAATGGGCGGATATCGAACCCGTCCCTCAGAACGACGGGCCGAATCCTGTTGTTCAGATCATCTACAGCGAGAAGTGTAAGTCCTAAAGCTTGTGCTCTGCGCTGACAACTTAAGGCGGTTCAGTTTGCATCTGCCCTTAGCGTTGTCGAAGCAAAAGTTAACGTTTTGGATAACGTATTTTCTAAAGTAGTGCTGTGGAGAAATCGATTTAACGTTCGTTGCGTTACAGTGGCTGCGTGTGACATTTTCACCAGGTCTCTGAAGTCGAACGTCTGCTTGTGATGTTAATAGCCAGGGTTATATTTTGGAACGTTATGGCTGTAAGAAGTAATACAACAGACAGTCTGGCTCACAGAATAGAGCATTTCTAGCCCCCAGGTGAAAGAGAGACAGACGAAGCTGCTGCATGTGGGGAAACAGTGTGAGTAAGCAGCAAGGATCCTTTCTGGTTGTTTTGGATGTTACTCAGGTGGTGTATTTTAAAGATATTCTTTCAGTTTTTCAGTATGCTAATGTCACAGAGAGGTCTCAATCAGCAGTGCTGTCAGAGCAATATGTAGGTATCGTTTCAAAGAGGTGTATTTAAAGCACACAAAACAGGAGGTAACTTCAAAGGATTACTAACCTTACCCCTGAATCAGGCCGTTGTCTCATAGCCTTGGATAAGATGCTGTTGTCTGTTTAGTTCGAGATGTCTACGATTACTTCCGGGCTGTTCTGCAGCGGGATGAGAGGAGTGAAAGAGCTTTCAGGCTAACAGCAGATGCCATTGAGTTAAATGCTGCCAACTACACAGTATGGTAAGTGATAATCTTGGGGTTATTTTTATCTTCCTTTAACTGCCAACCTCTTATGTCTTTAATAATTTTGTTAGTCTAATGGGGGCATGTCTGATTGAGTTTACACCGAGGAGTAGCATAGACTTCCAGTGAGAAAGCCTTTGTTCAGTATTTTCCACGTATCGTTTTGATTTGGTGGTTTTCATTCACTTGGCTTTGAGAGTAATAGCAATCAAGGTCATGATTAGCCACAAAAAGAACTTTGCTGTGTAAAATTAGATCGTTCACCTGATAACCTGGCCTTGGCAAAATGCTAAACGTGTCCTCAGCTGACTTCAAGAAGAGGCATGAAATCATGAGAGCGGCTATTTCCTGCTAAATAATTGTATTCTTACTAAATGATGCATTTTAGAAGACCTGTCAGCTTAATGTTTAGTTACGTGGTGAATAAACAGTGAATTTCTGGTATTCAGAGTAGGGCCTTTTAACTCGTGAATGCTAACAAGTACCTCTTGTATGTCTTTATTCAACTAACTTGCAGAAAATCAGAAAGTTTGCACTATTTTAAGCATGTAAGTCATAGCTGTTGTGATAGTAGGACTAGTGTGGGTAAACAGAGGTTGATCTGAAACAGGATTGCTGGGATCTTGGGTAACATACTGTTCTAACCAGCTGTATTCTAGTTCTGTACTGTTTCATTATTGAATGGCCTTTAACACAACTGGATATGTGGTTTAGCTTCTTGCACGCTTTTTAACTCAATGTCTGTTAGAAGAACTGTGAACAAAGGTTCTTCCGTGTTCTCTCTGAATTTTAGGAAAGCCCTGTTAAAGTGTTTGAATGCTCGACTTTTCTACAGGCATTTCCGGAGAGTCCTCCTGCAGTCTTTGGGAAAGGATCTCCATGAGGAACTGAAGTATATTACAGCTATCATTGAAGATCAGCCAAAGAACTACCAAGTCTGGTAAAATCATGTTTTCTTTTCAATTCTTAACGGTTTTGCAGATAATTTTTGTTGTGCAAATTGTTTAGAATACTGATCCTTAGAGTTGTTAAGAGTTGCTTTCTACATCTACTGCAGTGGCAGTAGTGAAGGTGTTAAATGGAGTTGCACCTGTATCTCTGTCAAAGTCCTCTATAGCACTTTGTTTTAAACATATGACTATGACAGGCTAAAAAGGTCTCATTTTCTTTTAACTTAAATTTTTAAACTGTGAAAGTAAGTCTAACAGATAAAAAAAAAATTACTTATGAAAAGGCAAACAATAAGACAAATAGAAATCAGTATTTTTTTGGCCCTTGGAGTCTTCTTACCTGTTGTTGGTTTTTTCCCGAGCAAATGGGAGTAGGCAAAACAGCAGCATTACTATTGCTAGAGAAATTACGTAGTACTAGAAAATTTTATTCTTTTAAAGACTTTGGCCGTGAGTGTTAAAAATGGAAACATGTTACTTTCAAGTAAACATAACTTGTCTAAAAGGATGTGATTGGCCAATATGTATGTGTAGTTAGAATTTGTTATAGTATAAGTGTGCATCGCTGTTTCTCAAAGCCAAGTGGAGTGTTCTGGTATATTTAATTTGAAGTCTTTAACTAGTGGGTTTTTTTTCCTAAGTAGTACGTTGCTGTATGCTGGTTTAATACAGATGACATCTTCACAAAAAATGAAGACTATTTTAAAAATAGTTTCCTCTTCTGGTCATTAGGCATCACAGACGGGTGTTGGTGGAGTGGCTGCAGGATCCATCCCAAGAGCTTGAGTTCATAGCTGACATTCTTAATCAAGATGCCAAAAATTACCATGCTTGGCAACACAGACAATGGGTTATTCAGGTATTGTATCCATAGAACTCTTGATTCACTAAATAACCTGCTCAGGTGGTAGAGTTTTGCTTCTTAAATACAATCTGAATTGCATTTGGCATTTTGTTTCTTAAGGCTGAAGGGGGAAAAATAATTGCATTTTGATATGTGATGGAGGCTGGCTATCACCTTGCCTTTTAGGAAGCGAGTTCAAAAAGGTCTGTTGTTGCCTGCTTACGGTTATGTGTGTGATTTTAATGATGAGCTAATACCATTGTGTGCAATCTTATAGTGTAGCCTGTTCCTAGTACCCCCTTCCTTACTTTTCTTCGAATTGATGTAGATTTAATTTACAAAGCCTCTGTATCTAATGTTCAGAGACCTTAGGAGCAAGTTGAATATATTTTAAAAAATCAAAACTTTTGATTGTGATATTCTCTCTTCCTTCGCTTTCCACAGGAGTTCAAATTATGGGACAATGAACTGGAATACGTAGACCAGCTTTTGAGGGAAGATGTGAGGAACAACTCTGTTTGGAACCAAAGACACTTTGTTATTTTCAACACCACCGGCTATGATGATCCAGCAGTCCTAGACAGAGAAGTCCAGTTAGTAATGCTCTTCACACTCACATTAAGCATTTTCCATTACATGAAAGCAAAGGAATACTTCAACAGTCCCTGTGGGATTGTCTTTTCTGTTTTTAGTGCAGTTTTGGGGCTCAGTCTCATGGATAGCAGATCAAGTGTTAGTGCATATGTAGATGTATTCAATACCACTGACATGTTGAGTAGTACTGAAGCAAGCTATGCTTACCCTGGGCAAGCTATTCTCATGAATCTGTCTTTCTGCCCTGCTGTGTATTGTGCAAACAAAACTTTTGAGTTTTTATAGTTAACTAGGTATAGTGGAACAACTTGCAGAAAAATCTGTGACACTGGAACCAAAAGAGTTGTGCTGTTCATTAGTATCTTGCATCCTCCCCCTAGAAAGCTTGGAAGGAGAGACGCTGTCAGTGTTGTACTAAATTGCTGTTTCAGTAGTGCAGTAGCCACAGTGGTTTAAAGATAATGTGGACGTGGGTTGTAGGAAGAGGAACTGCCTTTTGTGAGGAATTTGATGCATCTGGAAGTAGAAAGGGGCTTTCAGGGGTATGTGGTCAGCACAAGGCCACCGACCTGTATGAGTTGGCTAGTTTTGAGGAAAATGAGCTCTGGAAACCTTTTGGAAGCGCTGTGTTTGTAACTGAAGACAAATTAGGCCTCTAGTCATTTATTTTACTGCCGATGGTGGTAAGGGAAGCCTTGTGTGGTTTTCCCATCTCAGGCTGCTGATGACGGTTGATGGCTATGAGAAGATGTGTGTCTAAAGTGAAGAAGTAACAAAAAGAAGGTACTGCCATTTTTTGGAGTTACTCTTCAGAAGAAAGACTGAGTCTCTAAATAGATCCATTGGTACATTGTTCATAGAGGATCCCAACCCCCACCACCTTTATGGTTGTCTTTGCAAAATAGTGTAGTAAGTTGTACTTCTCTTCCAGTTTGTAACTTTCGTGCAGATTAATAAATCTGAACTATTTCCATGACTTAGGCTTGGATATTTCCAGCTTTTTCTCTCCAGGGGTTAGATCTGACATTCTCCCTTGCTCTGTTTATACATGGTGCTATGTTCAAGATAACTGGATACCATCTTAAGAAGTAGTCTGTCTAAGGTTAAGACTTCCCAGAGGTCATTACAGCACTGTAGCTGGGCTGCTGGTTGCTTGATAAACTCGGTCTTTGTCATAGTGACTGCAGAAGGTTAAAAAAGGATTACGGTTTGGGGTTTTTTCTTCAGTACTGCTTATAAAACTTTTTATCAGTATCTGCTGTTTTTGAAAATCAGCTGAGTGCGTGGTTATGCTGAGGAAGGGCAGAAGGTAAAGTCTGTTTTGTGAAGACGAAATGTGGCTTTGTGACTGTATGGCAGGTGACTCTTGTTGCTTTGGTTTTAGAGGAGTTGCCTAACTGCTACTTTAAAACAACTGCTGCCGAAGGCTATGTGAGCGGAAAAGGCTAGGTTTGCTCAAATGCAGCCTCATGAAAAAAGTTCAGCAAATAAGGTAGCGAACATACCACGTGCAGTCATATTAACATAGCTCACTTTGGGCTTTGATTACTCCAGCCAGTTTCAGCCCCTTGCTGTTTCTAAGCATCAAGACACAAGTTGCCCCTTTAGCATACCAGGACAGTATATCATGTTGTTTCTTAGTGTTATTGCTCATAATTTTGAGAACTCTTTCATTATTGTGAATAATGCAGCAAATGGAACTCCTCAGAATTTAAAATGGTTCTCACATCTGCCTCTGAGACTTACAGTGATGATGTTGCAAGACATTTTTGATCTGTGACCCAACTGAGATGATCTTCAAAAAGACTCTGAAATATAGACTAGAGGGATGTATTTGGGAGCGTCTGAGCACATTCTGGTAATTTCTGATTGCATAATTAATGGTTGCATTCATGACCTATTACCTTTTTCTCACAGATACACTCTTGAGATGATCACAGCAGTGCCACATAATGAGAGCGCTTGGAACTATTTAAAAGGGTGAGGCATCGTGCTCTGTGAGTCAAAGAGGATATGTGTAGAAGGTGTCCTATGCCTGGCTCTTAACTGGAAAGAGCTTGTCGCTGTCCATTCTAGTGTTGTGCGCTTAAGCGGACAGGCAAAAACCTTCTAATTTCTTTGTAACTTTCCACTAAGTGTCTGGCCCTGTAGTTCTTGTGAGAGGATTGCAAGTGCTTCTCCTGCTTTTAAAAACTTGACCTGTAATGTTACTGGGTTCAAGAGCATAGAGTAGGAAGTAATGAGCATGCTTTCAGTCTAATTTCTGTTCAGTTGAGCATAAGTGTGCTAGCTTACTGCAACTTAAAGCTGTGTTTTTGCTGCATGCTGCTTGCTGTCTGCCTCACTTGTATTTGCATCCTTATTTCAAAACTGATCTCCAAATAAAGGGAGTCGTAACAAAAACATAATTGTTCCCACCAGATTTCCCAGCATTGTGTTTCAAGTCAGTTACCCTCTGTTCTAGGATTCTGCAGGATCGTGGTCTTTCTAAGTATCCAAATCTGTTAGAACAACTGTTGAATTTACAGCCCAGCCACAGTTCACCCTATCTGATTGCCTTTCTTGTGGACATATATGAAGACATGCTTGAAAACCAGTGTGATAACAAGGAGGAAACACTAAACAAGGCGTTGGAGGTATGTTTTGAGAGCTTGGTTTTGCTTCTTAGGGATGCCATCTATTGCTCTCTTATATCCCAACAAAATGGGACTGATTTTCGTAAATAGAACAGGTTACTTGTTAATCACAGGAGCTCTATGAAGAGTTGAACATGAGAGCCAGATAATCACAAGGGTCTCATGAATTTACCTATAAATAATAACTTGCCAGTTACAAAATCACTGCAAGTTTTCTCCACCTGGTAGTAAATGGAGGTTTATAATATTGCCTGCAGACAAAAGGGTGTGTTTGAACAAGCAAGGAGTTTCCAGTGCTAACTTTGTAGCATATAATCACTTCTTTCTGTGTAGGTTAGTGAATCTCATTCTCAGATTATCTGTATTTTAACAGAATCTCAAGCTCCCTTCGCACTTCTTAGCTCTTTCTACGAAAGCTGGCCAAATTAGCCTAAAGGCCATCAGGCACTGGGGACACTAATGAGGAAAGTCAGGCACTGTTTCCTACAGAGAATAAATGACTTCTAGCAATGTTATGTGGTTTGCAGTGCAGTTTTTACAAGAACACTTTTGACTCACTGTGGGACAGACTAGAACTCAGTGTAATTAGAGCTGCAGTTCTTGCCTGGAGTCTCTAGGTTCCAACACCATTCTTTCTCAACATTTACATCGTTCTTTCTCAATGTTTTTCCTCTGTTGGGTTGCAAGACCAGAGTCTAAATAAGTGCAGTTGTTCCTCCCAGATTCATGTCCCTTTAGATTATATAATTGAGTTTGACTTCTTCATCTGTTTAGGCATCGAAGCTCCGATCTCTCAACTCTGGTCCACTGAGTGAGGCAATGTCATCTGCGTAATAAAAGGGAATTGACTAGAACATTTGTAGATGGTGTTCATACCATACACATTTTACAGAGTGTGTCCTGTGAGTAGGGTTGAGTTCTGCTATGCCTCACTGCTCACCTAGATCAAAATAAAGCAAAAATCAGAACATGTAGAAGTGTCTGTATAGCACTAGGTCTAATATGTAGTGAGAGAAGTTTACTGACTTGCATGGAGAATCTATTTGGGACAGTCTGCTAAGAGAAAAACCATGAACAAAATATCTCCTGTCAGTCCATCGGGAGTACTGCAGATTCAAGGGCAGGATGTTCCCCCACTGTTTTGATGAAGTGGATCACTAAAAGACAGTCAAGCTTGTCAGAAAGTCACAAGGATATTGTTGTATACTACAGGCTGAGTAGGCCAGGGTAGGTGATCAGTGGTAGGCATGGAAAGGAGTCACGGGGAAGCAGCTGCATCTGAAATAGGACTGAAGAGTTTTTTGTGCGGTGTCAAGATCGGTTGACTACCGTTGGAGTTGACATCAGTTTGAGGTCATTGGACAGTTGCAAATCTGGTGAGTAAAACCAAATGTTGCTAAGAAAGGTGTTTCTAGTACTGGCTGAACTATGTATTGTGTGTATTTTATAAAGATAGTTCAGGATTCCTTAAGCTTTTGGTGTAACACTCCAATCTGTCAATTTTCTTTCATAGTTGTGTGAAATCTTGGCTAAAGAAAAAGACACCATCCGAAAGGAATACTGGAGATACATTGGAAGGTCCCTTAAGAACAAGCACAGCTCAGGCACTGAACAGAGCCCACTGACAGACACACAGCAGTAACTGAACAAGGAAGGAAACAGCGTTAAGCTCTCAAGCTCTTCTAAATCAGTTCTAAGTAGGGTCATCGACTAGTTTAAAATCCAGCGTAGCAGTCCCCTGGTGAACAGGTATTGCAGTGAAAGAGGAGCACAGAGTGCTGCATGGTCTTGCGTCGCTGCTGCTACTGGTGATAGCTCTGGTTGCAGTGAAGAAATGTATTAAGGCTTAATCAGCAAAGTGTACCAAATAAAGGGTTTACTTCCTAACAATAAATACGTAAAGCTGTACCTACTGTTTATAAGGCACTAAACCAATTTGTCATGCCCTGTCTTATCTACTCATGGTTCCTAACACAGTCGCATCAGGTGCTGCAGTAATGACTGCAGGTAACTTAGCTGTAGTGGATCTAACGTAACCTACTTCTGGTTAGTGCAAGCAGGCGCTGCAGTTGTTGCCTTATGTGGGAGCAGCTGTGCAACGCTGACAGCACGTGCTGTTGTGTGCAGCTAACACCAATTGTCATTCTGTAATAAAAACAGATAACAAAACATTAGTCTGAAATTTTCTAACAGGTTTCTTTTGGTCTTTAGATGTGCATATTCTGTTCTTCTTGAATGCTAATAGAGATGAAATACCCCCTTTTAGGGATATTGGACTCTATTGCATGGAGGTGTCTTTTTGCACTGGAGTATTCTCATCTCGGAAGCTTTCAGTACACTTGATGTATTCCATGGAGCCTTGAGTTCTTATCTACACAGTCAGGAGAAATGAATGCTTTGAGCACCCTAGAAGATCTTTTGCTTGGAATTCTGTTCAAGCAGCTGAAAATCTGAATTTTTTTTTTCACCTTTTGAAGTCATAGTTCAGAAAAGATTATAACCAACTGGTTATGCTATGCGTCTTCACTGAACGGAAAGGGAAGGAGTGGTTCTGTTGGGGACCTGTTCGCATTGAATGTCTTAACCTTATTCCTCCCGTAGATTTTTCTTATCTTTTCCATGCATATATTCAGCCAAGAACTATTTTTGCTCCCCTTTTTGAAAGATGGAAGGCACCTGCAGTACAGAACTGCAAAGCATGTGTATACCTGTACCAGAAAATTGCTGCATCTGCCCTGTTCTCAGTACATGGCAGTTGTAAACTGTGTTCTTAGCATAGAGTGCCCGTGTGCTATGAAATACTTTCTTGCAGATGACCATAAAAGGAACAAATAAATACTAGTATTTATTCCATAATAGGAACAGTCTTTCTGATACTAAACATTAAAAGCTGCTTCTATTATTAAACCATAGTGGAGATTATTCTAAATGCTTGAAATACGTTAATTCAATGCATTCTTTAAAACAACTCACAGAGAGTGGAATTAATATATGAAAGCTATATGATTTTTTCATAACGTTTTTGCTGCTTTCCCAGCCGTAGAGAAAACATTTTCGTAGTGACACATGAACATTTAAATTGGACATAAAACTTCTGAAGATTTGTTACCTGTGCTTTTTTTCTGCCTTTTTTTACCACACTTGAAGCTCCAGCACAGAACAAAAAGTCTATGTTTCTACCCCTGTGAATTGTTCCTAACTGAAACTACACTAAATACGGAATACTGATCAGACAGGATATTCAAGGTCTTCAGGACAAAGTAATGCATTTGCCACTCCCTGTCAAGAAAGCTCAGAGAGATACAACAGACAAATGCAATCCTTAAAATAAACATCATCAATGAAGAGGGAACAGAATTTTGCCTCTGGATATGGTGTTACTAATTCCCATACGTTTCATAAAGAAAATTCAGAGTGGACTTGGAATAAGGCAGAGTATTCTTAATAGACACTGGCATGAATTTCAGAGAAAATAACTCATCCCAAGGTAAGATGATGAACAGTGCCCACTGGGATAGGGTATTTTGAGATGTGACCTCTTAGTCATTTGTGGTCTGAGGAAAGATCTTGGATTTAGCCCTGTTGTGTTTTTGTGTCAAGAACGGTGGGATCCTGTGACAAGACTCTTAGACTATTTTCTTATGGTGTGGTTACCTTACGGTCTTCTCATGCTTGAAAATGACGTCTAGAATTCGTCAGTAAAGAGTTACCTACTGACAAGGTTAATAGGGTTTTATACTGGTTATACAAGTATAGGGTTATTTGCAAAGGTAATGCTACTTCTGAGCTAAGCTTACAGAATTACAGAATGTTCGGGGTTGGAAGGCACCTCTGTGGGTCATCTAGTCCAATCCCCCTGCTGAAGGAGGGTCACCTACAGCAGGCTACACAGGTCTGCAGGAGTAACCAGATGTGTACTCTAACAGAAAAATACTTCGTCTCATGTAAAACAAATGTGTGACCAAACAAATAATGCAAATACTAAAAAAACATGCTGGAGACTAGAAGCCTTTTTTAAAAAAAAAAAAAAAAAGTCATGTTTTAACAGAAATGTTCGGTTTCTCTTTCAAATGTTTATGTTTACTGTCATTTGGATTGCAAGGAAGCTCTAAAATTCTCTTTGAAAGGCACCTCAGTTCTGTGGTAGTCAGCTATACTCAGAAATACTGAGCTGTCCAAGCTGGGAAGGTGACAGGCTGCCCAGCCAGCTTTCAACTGCAGCTACCAAGCCTTTGATTTTAAAAATGTGTCTGAGACAGAATCTTTCTCATGGAAGTGGGAGCTCGATGAAATGTATGAGCTATAGAGAGAAGGATCTTACAGTAGGAAGTGTTAGATGACTTTAACGTGTAGGCATTGGTACTAACTACCTATGATCAAGAGGAAACACCAAACTGGTTTGTCCTAAGGGTTCATCTGTACAAGAAAACTTACTGTTGTTCCTCATTTTGTGTAGTGATGTGAATCTTGTGTACAATTTTATTACTGAAGAGCTGTGCCTAAATGGAAAACTGTATTGGTACAACTGTCCCTTGTAAATCAGTATAATTGGAACATTCAGTGGAGTATGGAGAATTATTAAAGGATGCGAAATAACTTCCTGTGCTTGCTTTCATCAGAGGCTGATGTTCTTGCCTTGGTCTAGTTGTGTCTGTCTGTCTAAGCTGTTAGTACCCTCCACCTTACTGTCTCTGCAAGTCAGCTGACAAAACACTGCACGAGTCCTTCCTAATCTGTTCCGTACAAAACCATCTCAGCCAGCACAAAATGCTCCTACCCGTTGCTGTGTGGCTGTGCTGAGGCAGATTAGGAGTGTGCTATTCAGCTGGATCTTCTGCAGGAGCAGTGTCCTCCAGCAGGGAAGCAGTGAGGTCTGTAATCGCCAGGCGAAATGGTGCTGCCCAAGTGCTAGCAGGCAATTCATGCAGGGCGGTGGTGACAAGGGGTTTATGGAGAGATGGGCCCCTGCAAAAGCACAAAACGCCTTAAAGCTCCCATGGCTTTTAGAACAAAGAGATAAGGGAAACAATACTGAGTGACGGTGTGGAGTCATCTCCTGTGGGCTCATACGAAGGCTTCGCAAATGCAGGTGGATCTGCCTGTGTGCAAGTTCAGAATGGGCAGGGGAGATACTGCATCTGTGGTTTTCCTGCCCTGTGCATGCAAATGGAGAGAGAATATCTTTATTAGCACCTTGAGCCATATGTCTCGGATGTTGTCCCAGATACAGCATGGTGGATACAGGAACGTGAAGAATGTCCCTCAGCCAAGCTCATGCCTTTTTCTGAACATCAGTGCCTTCTGCACGTTACTGACATTGTGGGATAAGGTGTGGGATTTGCATCTTCTATTCCCAGTCTGGTTTTAGTTGGCAATGACCCCTGTGGCTTTTGAGTTGGCAGCAGGTTCCCCTAGTGTGTCTTCTGCTTAAGGCAGATTGATTTGGAAAACTTCGGCAAGACAATGTTTGGCTGAGTTTTGGCAAGTCTTTATAATGTGGCAGCATGGCATTTTACTTCTAGTCCGCAGGTGCCAAATATCCTTCAATATTTACTTTTTCTTGTACATAACGATCTCTATTAAATGTCTCAAGCTGAAAATCTTTTCCCTCCCTTTAAGGCTGTACTGTGAGGCTTTTTGTACGATATATTCTAACGGCAAAGGGTAAAAAAAAATGCATTTTAATGTAAAAGCTACAGTATTTTTGTCCTGTAACAGGTCCTTTCCAGAATCCCTGGTAGTCTGGACTGGTCTGTATAATTCTGGTCATGAATAACATTGCCATTTTAAAGTAATATGTGTACATTTACATGAGTACACTCTGTATGGATGCCTACTTAATACAGGCAAACAGTAGATGAAATCTGAAGCAGAGAATAGAAATCTCTAAAGTAGACAATAATTTGTTTTTCTCCACAATATGTTATCTAATGCTTAACTGTTCAAATAGGGATGATCTGTACCTTGCAGAAGTCACAGTGTAGAAGCGACACGGTCATTTTTTCTATTCATCCCTTCTCTGTTCTTAGCATCCTTTTATCTTAATACATCACTTGGCTTAAGAACATACACCCTTTGGACACAAGACTTTTTCAAAATTAGGACCCTATTCCTGGATGAGAAGTGATGTTGCTGACACTGCTGAGAGAGAAACACGTTTACAGGTTCTGGGCCTCCCTGTGCCTGCTCTGAAAAAAATACCTTCTGCTGCTAGGGTGGGCCCTGAATTTGCAGAAAAGCAAGACAAAAAAGAAGAAAAAAAATAGCACTATAGTATGTAAAGAGGCACACAAGGGTCTGCATGTGAACATTCAGGAGAAGACTGCCAAAATCAAGGGTGCATGCACTTGTTTAGGTTTCTGTACGTACATGGCTTGAAGAGCTAATAGAAGTCTCACCAAATTTAGCTAGGAACTCCACCTCAGGAGGTCTGGATGGCTACACCAGCTGTCCTATGTAAGCTCCTAGTGGCTAGGACTCTGTGCTCCATGATGTGTGTCACCCATTACTGTGCCTCAACAAGCCACGGGCTATAAGCCTACCTAAGATTTCGGCCTTGGGGAATTAAAACCTCTGCCGCATCGTTTTTCTGCGGGTGCACAGCAAGCAAAGTGGATGTCAATCACTAGATGGCGGTGTGAAATCCATCCTGAGCCCACTAATGCCGGCTGTGTGCAGGCCAGCAGAGGTAGAACTAGGACAACCCCTTCTACATGCAACACCACTAATTTCACACCTGCTAATTAAACACGGAAAAGCAGCTGCTTGGTAAGTCAATACATACCACCACAGAGGACTCAAGCACAAGCATTCTGGGAGGGGCTAAATGGTCATCTTCACTAAAAAATATTGGTGTTAATTGGAGAGCAGTTTTTCATTAAATGATGTCTCCTCTGACACTGGACACCTTGTAGCAGATCTGGACTCTGTTGAGTCCTTGTCTTCTAAAATAACCACGTGACTAAACCCCGCTGCTCAGAGTGTGGGTTTTGTGGCCGGCTTACACCTTTTGGAGACGTGCCTCCAGCCAGAGAGCTACACTCATGCACCTTCACAAGCTAGGAAGTTTTTGTCCCCTAAAGCCAGCCTTGTTATGGTAAGTTTCTCCAGTCCCTCTGTAATGAAGTGCTGGCCATTTCTGGCTGTTCCTGTGCATAGAGGTTGATGGACAAGAGGACCTGGTCCTGCTGCTTGGAAGTCAGGGTTGAACTTGGACCTCACTGAGGAAATTCAGCGTGCTGTTGTAGGTCCAAAAGTGGTTGCCTTTCTCATCAGGAAGCAGCACTGAGGACGTTGATGAAGAAGGGCGAAGACAGAACTCTCTTCCTTATCCACTGGTTTGTCAAAACGGAGTGTTGTGGGTTGTCACCACAGTGCAGGGATTTTTACGTGAATGAAGAGATGCCATGTCTGGTTTTAGCCAAGCCAGCTTCAGCACCCAGGGCTACTGAGATGCAACCACTTCCTATCTGTGTTCCACGCCTCCCATGGGTATAATGCTAGCTCTGGTACCTCTGCCCTTATCTGAAACAGCTGGGTGACAGGTGTAATGCTGCCATATCAGTACTGCTCATGAGCACTGAGTGTGCCACTGCAGAAGAGGTCTTGCTGCCCTTGGCCTTCTCATTATTTTGGGTTTGGATTACTTTGCTCAGGTGTATTTGGTTAATGACTTCAGTGGTTTCCTGATGTGTCCTGTCTGTTGTTCAAGTCATCCCTCCAGCAGACCCAAGAACAGCTGAATAAATACTTGTGTTGCTACCAAGAAGCTTTGGAAGGAGGAAAAGAAAAGAAAAAGGGAGCTGTGTTTGTGTTCTTGCTGTGCATCCCCTGTCCTTCCCTTTCTACCAAGGCCTGTCACTGGGACAAGAAAGTGGCAGGTAGATAACCTTGCCTTTTCGAAGCCAAGGTGCTTACGCACATCTGTCCCTGCTCTAGCTTCCAGCCACACTATGAACAGAAGTTTTATTCCTGATTTTGCTAGAGGACAGTGAGAACACACTCTCCCCGTACATCATCGCATCTGGTGCTCACTGACTCTGCTGGCTACTTCTTGCACTGACAGTTTCTCTGCTGCAAAAGAAGCCAAAATGACCGTTTGCAGGCACCCACAGCTGAAGTGTCTGGCTGGTGTGGAGGTCTCCCAAACATATAACCCTTTGCACCACTGTGCCAGCACTCTGCTGCCAGTTGAGTGGTAGTGCCTATAATCTTTGCTAAGTTGTTTTAGAGGTCTAGCCTGCAAAGGCCCTAAGCTCAGCTGAAGGCTACAATAAAAGGAGAGAGTGTTTAGTATTTTAAATGGGCAAATGAAAATCAGAAATATCTGTTTTTAAAAACACATTTTCAAAGGCCAATGCTGACCATTCTTTAACTGAAAATTAAAAACTTATAAATTGAGAACAGAAAACTGCTTGGCTTCTGACATTCAGAAGGAAAATGTATGAGAGAGATTTGTTTTAGGCGAGATCTATTTTTTTGTTAGAAGGGGATGTCAGGACAAAACCCCAAAATGTGGATGAGTTCTGCTTGTCGTCAGCATAGCTAGGTCCCTCTCGGAGCTGAACTTTCCTCTTGTATCATTGTGGAAGGAAGGGGAAGATGAGGGATGACTGGGTCCAGGGCAATCCAAAATCACTACTCATGCATCACTAACAACAGCTAAAAATATTAAAGCAAATGGTTTCAGGAGAGAGCCCCCTGCTGCGGAACCAGACAGAGCCACCTAGCACATCCAGCAGTTCTGGGCATTCACAGTAAGAGCAGTGCTTTCCCTCCAGGTTCGTCTGTATTGACTTTCTCATTTCTTTTTTTAATTGCTAGTACATTGGCGGCTCTGTGCTTGTCGGAGCTATCAGGCTAAAATTTATAGGGAGTGAAAATGAAGGGAAAGCTGAAATATAACCCATTCTACTGCAGGATTGCTACTCCACAGCCACGGCCAGGATATAACCCTCACTGCCTGGGCTTTATATCCCATGCTACCAGCTTTCAGCTGTCACTTTATAGCACGGGCTTCTTCCAGCAGAAACCACGTCCTTATATGTTTGAAAATGTGTGGTGCGCACAGAGATGCTCCCCCCCCACTCTTACAAATGCTAGCAGCCTCTCTGTCACCGTTTGAGTTTCACCTGCTTTCTGTTCCTCAGCTGCATGCCTGCAGAGCACATATAAGCTGTGCAGGGCAAGGCTTTCCCACGCTTCACCATGCTGCACTTAGCCTGGGTAGTGCTGGACTTGATGCGATTTTGCAGTGACTTCTAGGTGGCCCCGTTGCTCACAAGCATTCTCATGGAAAAGGACCTAGCCATGAAGGCTGCCTGCGAGCCCCCTCCCCCAGGTCTTAGGCCAGCTGTGGAGACTGGTGTATGTGACTACATTGCACCACCTCACCATAGCACCCCACCCATCACACAGTCCCCAAAGGTGAGCTGAGAGCTCTTAGGCGTAAGGTAGCAGCCAGCTGACATGTTACTGAAATAGAGGGGTATAGATCCAAAGACCAACCAGTATGCTTTGCAAAGAGCGGCTTGTCCCCTGTTATCAGATGGTAGCATCACCTGTAAGAACAGGCACTAAGCAGCACTCAGAAAGTTCAAATAGGGTCATAAGGAACCTGCCTAAGTGTGGGTATTGTTTTGAAAGAGGGTGGGGATAGCAGAAAAGAAAAGGGCAGAAAAAAACAGAGGGTAATAAAAACCTAGCTCATAGCCTGAACCAGTATTGTAGCATGGCCCTGAGAAACATGTTAGATATTTTTTTATTTGCTTCCTCCTGCTCACAGAATCAGGGTTTTCAAAGTAAACCAGATACATCCCTGATATCTCCTCGTTGCTGGAAGAGTGCTTGGGACACTGTGTTTCTGATTCATTCACACAGAATGGAGGAAAGACAGCAACATTTGTGGCTACCAAGCGGAGGAACATCGGTTGGTTCAGCAATAACATCCAAAGGAACAGCAGTAATAACTTCAAGAAAGGCTAAATTCTTTTTCCTTTGCCCTCTTCTGACAGAGAGCAGAGCTGGAATTTGGAGAATTTTCAAAAGCTGTTTCTATTTCCTAGTATGCTGTGACTTTAGGTCCTGTAAGAACAGTGTGCCTACTGGAACCATACCATTACACGGGTAATGTGATAAGTTTGGAATATTTTTGTAAGAGGAGAGAATGATTTGATGAATTTTCAGTGTTTGTTTTGGCTCAAATGCTGCATAAAGGTTTTGCCAGAAAAGTAGGAAAGAGGTAGCTGGGGCACTTTCAGGTTTCTATCAGTATCTGGTACCTTAACTAACACAAATAAACTGACCGCTGAGAAGGATGAAAGCTCTCAGTAGCGAAGAATAGATCTGGGATAACCTCTGAATGCTGACTCCAGAGTGGAGTAGTCTGTAAAGGTGAGGAGATCAACAAGACGGTTCCTGGTTTTGCCAAAGTCCAGATATATTTGCTGACAGAAGGAAAAGAGCAGCAGTGTATTAGAATCCTGTCCAGTGCCTGCATGCACATCTCTGACTGCGTACTAGTACCGATCAGCTTAACCTCTTCATGGCACCTGTCTGGCTTCCAAAAAGACTTTGGGAAAGTGCAAAATCTGTTACAGATGTCCTGGGGAGAAGGCAGTGGTTTCGGGGTACTTGCAGGTGAGTATGGGGATGCCACTGCTCAGGAAAGATGGAGGATGTGACATCTACACCTGGACTGCATGTCTGAAAAATGGAACAGCTTCTGCAACTGCTGGCTGCCAGTGAAGAATGGGCATAGTAGTGTAGCATTTGCATTGCACATCCGAGCAGTGTCCAGCATTCAAAAGGAGGAGTTCTAATGAAAGTTTAAACTGACGATGACCATTTTACAGCACATTTAGTTGTGCTCAACTCAGTTCAGCTCCAAGGCCAAATACAGTTCCCACAGGAGAGACGTCTCTGCTAAAAATTCAAGCACTGCTCTCTCCCAGTGGGATGCTTGTACTCCATTGCAAAAGTTCTAACAAGAACCACTAAGCAAAGCCATCCGACGCTCCTGACGAGTCCAAGTTCACTTGTGCTGTTCCTCAGTGCTTCGGATACTTCAAGCTGGATTGCGAGACACCATCAGCAGGCCTGGGAACATGGAAATATTCAGTTCACAAGAAGTATTTACGTGGAAATACCATTTCCTATCTAGTATTCAGCCACAGGAGTCCCAGAGCCTCTGTGTTTTCTGGTCTGTTGTCGTCGCAGAACATGTGTTCTTGGTGCAGATGCAAAAAAACCCACCAAAACAAAACTGAAGAAGGTAAGTACGCAAAGTTATTTCAGGTCTTTCCTAATAAATTAGAAAGCAGCAAGACTGTCTTTCTCTGATTTTACAGGCTTTCTTTACAGATCGTGCTGGACACAGCCAGTAAGCAACTCCATATCACGTTGAATTACTAGTGAGCAAGAGAAGGCACAAAAGCAGCAGCTAGAAAGGAAAGTGTAGTGGGAGGCCCTGACGTGTACCGGTGTACAAATTTAACATTTGAGCATGTATGCAATTGCAATTCTGTATTTATCTCACGATGACCGGACTGATCCAAGCAACTGATTTATGCAAGTTTTATACCACTGTGGTGACAGCACATCTTGCCTTCAAGCATGACGCTGAACCACCTAACCGACAGGGAGCTAGCAATGCATGTAGTGGGGCACCCAACCTTGGCAATGACAAGTCCAAGCAAAGCGAAGCAGAGATCACTCCCTCAAATGGATGAAGCCTGGTAGAGGTAGCAGTGAAACAAGTGAAAACACTATTTCAGTAGCCCACAGAGGGGTGAAAGATTTCATGGAGATTAATGGACTAAGTGGCTCTTAGTGTAACAGTTTTGCCACTCAGGAGCTCTGCTTTAGGATGCCACTATTCAGTCTAGTATCCAAACTTGTCCTGCTCCGCTCCAGACACTGTACCCTTTTATGGTGGCAGGGATAGGAACCGCATGAGGCCACACAAGCATCTCTTCCCTCTTTCAAAGGATTTTATTACTTCCAGGCACAAATTGTATCATATTGTGATTTCATGTTGGGAAAATTAATGAATTTTTCTGTTTCTCACTGTGGCTTATACAATGGCCTAATTAGCTAGGAGATCTGGGTCTCTAATCCCTTGCCTGGTTCTGACCTTGACTGACCTTGGGTAAGTAAATTTTTGTTTCTCAGCTTGCATTTACCCATCAGGAAAATACTAATGTTGGATTTTTTTTTCTTCACGGCTATATAGGAAGACTCATCTATGGATTATTCTGCTGCACAGGAGAGAAATGAGAAACCTAATTACGGCAGGCTCTCCCTTAGGGACCGAAGGATCCATCCACACTAGAACTTTATAAACCTCACTAAAATATTTCTTTCTCATTCTGTCTCTGCAATGACAGCATGTGTATTTGAGAAAAAATATTCTTCAAAACAGGGATAGTAGAGGTTACTAGTTATCAAGTTCATGCTAAGAAGACAAGAATATTTTCGACTGGTGGCCACGACCTTGTAAACGACTTTCAGATTCTGTTACGCACCTCTTTCCACACTCAGCCAGAGTTGCCACATGCTTATCTCTGGGAGCCTGGGTGTCTCACATTTGCAGTATTTGCTGTACTTGCAGAGGAGATAATCAGCAAAAATCCCACTGAAGGATGTAACGCAGGTGCTTTTTACATACCATTATTGCACATGTACGCATATTCTAATGTAATTCCAAAAGTACTAAGGATTTTATCTACTGTCTCACTGGGTATAGATACTGGCCTTAAGGCAGGAAAACAGTACATAATAACAGGATTACAGTTTTAACTTTGGACTCAAGCCTACAAAGACAGAGAAGAGGCCACAGAATTCTGCTTGGCTGCCACAGACACCAGGAGTATTTCGGACAAGTTGTGCTCAGGGGCTCACCAGCATGTGCTGCACCATGAGCACTACAGGGATATCCACTTGAATAACACTTAATAGAGGCAGGAAAGGTTATTAAGCCATTTTGCAACTGAAGTGTGGACAGATGAGATGATTAACCAAAGGTCTTCCATGATCAAAGACTGAATCTTCCGCATCTCAGTGAAATGCTTGGGGTGCAGTCTGTATTTTACCAGACGCATGGGGAGAAGCTCCCGTGGGACGGCTCTCTGCCAGAAACAGGATAAAACTGAGCACAGGCCAACACGGCATCAAAGTGCTCAGAGTGAGACAGAGCCACATACACGGGGAGCCACAGCCCCGCACAGAGAGGCTATCTCGCCTTGCAAGATAGCTTGCTCTTCAAGGGACTGAAAGGTAGGAGCCAGGAGAACCCGATCATCTGTATTTTGCACCTGGGTTAGACAATTGCCATTTGCATTTAAAAATGACAGTGCCAGAATAAAGTAGTAGGACACATGTGACCCACTGCCCCTCCCTGTGCACTGTTGCTGTGAAATGCTGGCAATGCAGGCATAGCTTCAGCTCCAGAACTACCTTGGAGATACCACTGTCACAGCTGGGTTGTCAGTTTTATGACAGCTGCAGATTTTTCTCCAGTTTCTTGTCATCTGTGGTGTCCTTCTTGCAAAATCATTGCATGACCCCTGACTCTGCCCTTGCTTTCAGAAGCACTGAAGCCATTGGCTCCCATGAGTCAAAATGACCCTCAGTTTCTCCTACGGCTTATCCGATGCGCAGGTATTGCTTGCTTCCAGTGAAAAAGCCCACAGCCCGCTGGACTTTTAGACTGCTTTGGACTTTTAGATGGCGCAAGGAATGAGGCTGGCACTTCCTCCTTTCAGCACTTACTGACTGCTCCTGCCTTTCCCTGCAGCTTGCCGCTTAGGCAGCTCTGGCGTGTGGGCCCCCGCGGCCTTCGAAAGACAACTGAGGAGGTACTCCACCAAAGTGAGCATACAAGGTTTGCAGGGCTGGGGCAGACATCTGGGGGCTGTGGCGTACGATGGTGGAAAAGATGGAGGCGTTGGACTGGCGAAGATAAAAGACGGAGGAATGCCATGAGTAGGGCAGGAGATGAAAAGTTAGAGGAAAATGAAGGCAGGTGGGAGTAGTATGGACGGAGAAGGCGAGGGAGATTGTGCTGTTCCAGATGAAATCTGGGCGAAGGCCAGGAAGTCATAGCAAGAAAGGCAGCCCAGGATGAAGACGCCTGAGGTATGCACCCTCCACATCTGAACCAAGGAAGGAACGCAACCATGCTGCCAGTTTTTCTACTCAGCGCAAGACTAGCCTGCTTTCGTGACAGGGCAGGAAGCAACCATAATGGGACGAAGAGTTCTCGTGGTGTGGAGAGACCAAGACGCTTGGCTGGAGCACGACGACAGGCACGGCACGTTGGGCGTCCTCCTCCTCCTCCTCACCGAACTGGAGCCTGACTGGGGGACGCTTCTGGCAGGAGCACGCTGCAGGCCTGACAACAGGGGAAGGGAGAAAAAAACAAGAGGGAAATCAACCCTGTGCCGGCCGCGGAGCCCGCAGCGCGCCGGCCCCCACAGCCGG